TCGGGTCGACCATGATGTTGGTAGTTTCTCATGGTCATGTTGCAGGAAAATGGTGCACTTTCCATGCATGTCAGAGGCGCAATTGTTTTCTCATCTGACCACATTCTCTTGCATCTCCATTTTTTCATTGTAGTTTAACATTTTCATAAAACAAGTGTCAACAGACACCAAGAACATCAAATAAAACTACAGCTCCAAGAGACAACAGTCATTATACAAACAGCAAAAACACAAACTCTTAAGAAGCGTGTTTCCTTTATTTCAAGTCAAAACCTTTATTAACACATAATAATAGACCAAAACCATTTATAAAGACACATTTAAGTTATACCAGGGTAATCAATATGTGTTGTACCATTAGTTTGTTTTTCATCCCATTTAATGGGACTCCAATATGATTTCAGCAAATGATGAATTATGGACAACAAATAAACGTGAAAGATTGTTGTATGGAGGAACTATTAAATTAATTTATTTCTATAGAGCCAAGAAACGTTTCAAATTTCTTTTCAAACACACTTTATACTGTTCCAAGCAGCAAAAAACCCCAGACTTATAAAGTATAGATAATGTTTGCAGGAGCCCCTTTTTCTCACCTCCACAGTGGCTATCCTTAGCCATGGGTGCAATGTGTTCTTGTTGCTTTGGCTGAGCTGAACTCTGGGCTTTTCTCAGCTGGCTGAAACCCTTTAATCAAGCAAGAAATAAAAAAAAAGAAAGGAACTTGACAAAGAAGGGGCAGCAAAGTCAGGGAGGAAATGGAGGATGTGGTGGAAAAGACAAGCAGCAGCCAGTGGAGAGCTCTCCATTTCTGTGGCTTTTTACAGCTTCCTAGTGCTTCAGTCGCACAGCTCACCACACCTCTGGCACACGGCTGGAGGGTTTAAGTGTGAAAATGCTGGCAGGAGCATGTAAAACATGTAAAAACACTGCTCAGTGAATAAAGGGAACACTCTGACACTAGATCTAAATGAATGAAATGTACTCATTGAATACTTTATTCTGTATAAAGAAATTACACACAAGTCCTCAATGAAAATCTAATACATCACCAATGGAGTCCTGGATTTGGAGTCTCACTTAAGTTGGCAGATGGTCTCCTGAAGGATCGCCTCAAAGACCTGGACAACAGCATCCATTGTAACCTGATGGATGTTGGATGGATCAAGACATGAGGTGCCAGAGGTGCTCAATCAGATTTAGCTCTGGGGAACAGGCAGGCCACTCCATAGCTTCAATGCCTTCATCTTGCATGAACTGCTGACACGCTCCAGCTACATGAGGTCTAGTATTGTCCTGCATCAGGAGGAAGCCAGGGCCGACCGCAGAAGCATATGCTCTTACAAGGGGCCTGAGGATCTCATCTTGGTACCTAATGTCAGTCATGCTACCTCTGGCGAGCACATGGAGGACTGTGTTGACCTCTAAAGAAATGCCACCCCACAACATCACTCACCCACTGCCAAACCTGTCATGTTGAAGGATGTTGCAGGCAGCAGGCTCTCTCCACTGTGTCTCCAGACTCTGTCACGTCTGTCCGATGAGCTCGGTGTGAACTTGCTTTCATATGTGAATAGCACAAGGCGATAGTGGTGAATTTGCCAATCCTGGTGTTCTCTTGCAAATGCAAAGCGTCCTGCATGGTGTTGGGCTGTGAGCACAATCCTTGTCTGTGGACTTGATCTGCCCTCATACTATCCTCATGGAATCGTTTCTAACCTTTGTCCAGACACATGCTCAATTTGTGGCCTGCTGGAGGTCATTTTTCAGGGCTCTGCCATTGCTCCTCCTGTTCCTCCTTACACAAAGGCGGAGGTAGCGGTCCTGCTGCTGGGTTGTTGTCCTCTTACAGCCTCCTCCACATCTCCTGGTGTACTGGCTTGTCCCGTTAGCTCCGCCAGCCTCTCGACACTACACTGACAGACACACCAAACATTCTTTCCTCAGCTCACATCGATGTGCAGTCCTGGATAAGCCGTACTACCGGAGCCACTTGTGTGGGGTGTAGAGTCCGTCTCATGCTACCACGAGTGTGAAAGCACCACCAACAATCAAAAGTGACTAAAACATCAGCCAGAAAGCATAGATACTGTGAAGTGGTCGGTGGTCCCCACCTGCAAAACCGTTCCCTTATTGAGTGTGTCTTGGTAATTGCCAATAATTTCCACCTGATGTCTATTCCATTTGCAAATCTGTATTGCTTCCTAAGTGGCAGTTTGATTTCACAGAAGTTTGATTTGATTGATGTTTTGTTGTTTTCCGGTTCCCTTTATTTTTTTTAGCAGAGTAAAACCAACCAGAAAAACGCCAAACTATTACTATGAGCAATGTTAAAATATGGTGACCTTCTACCAGTAAAAGATTACAAATTGGGTGTGATGAGCTCAAGCCATAGAGAAATGCAAGATATGAAGTTAATAGCTGTAAACTGCTATCCGTTGGCTTGTGATTTTATTAGCTGATAGTGACTATTTCACTGTTTTCTTGCAACTGTAAAGTTAACATCTGCTTGTTGAATGTGAATGGTTTAAGTTTTCTAGTGTTTAAAATTTTTTGCTATTTTTTTTTTTCCAAGTTTCTTTTTTACAAATGTTTTAGGCCCCGTCCACACGAAGTCAAAACGAACACGAAACGCTGATAGTTTCCAAAACGTTTGCCGTAAAGACGGAGACGTAAAATAAATGTGAGCGTCCACACGAATGCATGAAAACGCTGCAAAATGTATGCCAGGCCTGTAAGTGGCGCTGTGGTGCCAAAGCAAAAATAAGCGNATCTGATTTCCATACATGTCCCATTCCAAACCTCGGGTCGACCATGATGTTGGTAGTTTCTCATGGTCATGTTGCAGGAAAATGGTGCACTTTCCATGCATGTCAGAGGCGCAATTGTTTTCTCATCTGACCACATTCTCTTGCATCTCCATTTTTTCATTGTAGTTTAACATTTTCATAAAACAAGTGTCAACAGACACCAAGAACATCAAATAAAACTACAGCTCCAAGAGACAACAGTCATTATACAAACAGCAAAAACACAAACTCTTAAGAAGCGTGTTTCCTTTATTTCAAGTCAAAACCTTTATTAACACATAATAATAGACCAAAACCATTTATAAAGACACATTTAAGTTATACCAGGGTAATCAATATGTGTTGTACCATTAGTTTGTTTTTCATCCCATTTAATGGGACTCCAATATGATTTCAGCAAATGATGAATTATGGACAACAAATAAACGTGAAAGATTGTTGTATGGAGGAACTATTAAATTAATTTATTTCTATAGAGCCAAGAAACGTTTCAAATTTCTTTTCAAACACACTTTATACTGTTCCAAGCAGCAAAAAACCCCAGACTTATAAAGTATAGATAATGTTTGCAGGAGCCCCTTTTTCTCACCTCCACAGTGGCTATCCTTAGCCATGGGTGCAATGTGTTCTTGTTGCTTTGGCTGAGCTGAACTCTGGGCTTTTCTCAGCTGGCTGAAACCCTTTAATCAAGCAAGAAATAAAAAAAAAGAAAGGAACTTGACAAAGAAGGGGCAGCAAAGTCAGGGAGGAAATGGAGGATGTGGTGGAAAAGACAAGCAGCAGCCAGTGGAGAGCTCTCCATTTCTGTGGCTTTTTACAGCTTCCTAGTGCTTCAGTCGCACAGCTCACCACACCTCTGGCACACGGCTGGAGGGTTTAAGTGTGAAAATGCTGGCAGGAGCATGTAAAACATGTAAAAACACTGCTCAGTGAATAAAGGGAACACTCTGACACTAGATCTAAATGAATGAAATGTACTCATTGAATACTTTATTCTGTATAAAGAAATTACACACAAGTCCTCAATGAAAATCTAATACATCACCAATGGAGTCCTGGATTTGGAGTCTCACTTAAGTTGGCAGATGGTCTCCTGAAGGATCGCCTCAAAGACCTGGACAACAGCATCCATTGTAACCTGATGGATGTTGGATGGATCAAGACATGAGGTGCCAGAGGTGCTCAATCAGATTTAGCTCTGGGGAACAGGCAGGCCACTCCATAGCTTCAATGCCTTCATCTTGCATGAACTGCTGACACGCTCCAGCTACATGAGGTCTAGTATTGTCCTGCATCAGGAGGAAGCCAGGGCCGACCGCAGAAGCATATGCTCTTACAAGGGGTCTGAGGATCTCATCTTGGTACCTAATGTCAGTCATGCTACCTCTGGCGAGAACATGGAGGACTGTGTTGACCTCTAAAGAAATGCCACCCCACAACATCACTCACCCACTGCCAAACCTGTCATGTTGAAGGATGTTGCAGGCAGCAGGCTCTCTCCACTGTGTCTCCAGACTCTGTCACGTCTGTCCGATGAGCTCGGTGTGAACTTGCTTTCATATGTGAATAGCACAAGGCGATAGTGGTGAATTTGCCAATCCTGGTGTTCTCTTGCAAATGCAAAGCGTCCTGCATGGTGTTGGGCTGTNAAAAATATGCGGTTAGAGCGTAAAGATGGAAACGCGAAAACGGCGTTTCGAAATCTTCCCACTCTGAAGGCTGAATAAAAAAAAGATCGTTTACAGACCCCCAAAACGCCAGCTTCGTATGGATGAGAGGCTGGTTTGGTGAAAAATTTGTGCGTTTAGGCCAGGGTTCGTCTTCGTGTGGACGGGGCCTTATTCTCAACAGTCCGATCTGACCTAAACCTAATATAGAATATAGTAAAGAGGAAGGTGAAAGAGCAGATCCAGCAATGCAGTTGACCCTAGGGTCTCTATCAAAGCAACTTGGGCTTTAATTCAGTGTTTTAAAAGTCTCTCCTTTAACAACCCTAACTTTGGTTTCTCTTAAAGACTGTAAATCAGAAATAATTTAGGACTGCATTCAAAAATGGTAATATTGTATATTATAGGAATAATTTTATGCTTGACTGTAAACAATCTAAGTAAAGGGGGTTTGACAGAAATTACTCTTAAAAAAGTGAAATAAAGCATTTTATTTATCAATACATAAATAAAAATTGCAGTTGTTACATCTTAGGTGATATGTGCAGAGTTTAGTAGTTCTATAAATCAGAATTTTACATTAACAAATATACAAAAAATAAAAAAAACAAAAAAACAACAACATATATTTCTAAAGCAGGAAACTGCTAAAACATCCATTTATTTTAGAGGAACCAAATTTAAATGCTTGGAATAAGAGGTGATGCAGCAGATGGCCTGTTTTCACAGCAGGTTATACCGCTGCATATCTGCGCAGCCGCAGATAAACTGCTGCTGGCTGTAAAGCTGAATATCAGTCAGAGGTGACGAAAGACACAAAAGAAACATGTTGGTGACCCACACACACACTGAGATGCACAATAAATCACTCTGACTTCTGCCAGATTCCTGATTAACCCACTGACCCAAGATGTAGACCACCATGGTGTTTCATGCGCACACACACAACAGTACAAGTTCTTAACAGTCATAAAGCAGAGAATATCCCTGTGTTTGTGCCTCAGAGGGAGGGTGCCAGCTTTAAGTGAAATTAGCAGGGGACTCATCCGTCCCTTCGCTTTCCATCCTGTGCCTCTCTCCTGGTGCCTGCATGTCCTTCAGGATCTGAGATTGATACTGGAGACACTCCTTCATCTTGTCCTCTGTTAGGGTGAGACGCTCTTCAAGCACAGAAACAGTCTGCAAGGAGAACGAGGGGGGTGGGGTGAGGGATGGTGGCAGTAATTATGCAGCCGTCACAGAATAATTACAGAGCAGAAGGAAGTTGGATGGCCTAGAATCAGTCTAGTCATTGTTCTGGAAAATGAAGGAAAAGCTAGAGATGCAGAAGAGACCGAGGAGGCCATGTTTACGACTTTATTTTCTCATTTACCTTTGCCAAAACTACTCACAATGAGACTACATACTGGAATAAGAAAATTAAAGTCAGGAGTCTCTTGATTGCAGTTTAATTTCAGCTATGTTCTGGGGACCTCAAAGGGTTGTTAAAAAACATGAATAAAGAATTAGAACAATGAAGACTCAGCTAGAAGAGCGAGGTGCGCGAGAACGCTGGGACCCTTTTTCCCCCTGGATCCCTGCTCTTTTTTGCCCTCTTGTCCCTCTGTTGTGGCACAAACTTGCCCCCATTTCCTCACCTCCTTGGCCATATCTAGAACCACAGCTAGATCGTGGTTTTCCCTCTTGCGTTGTGGCATGGTATATATAAGAGAGCGCAGACCACGGTTCAATATTGGGCATAAATCAAACATATCTGCGACAAGCTCACCACGACACACTGCTACAGGAGTATAACCAGCCCTTTAGAGTTAGTTAGCATTTTGATTTTCACCGAGACCTGGCTTAATCCTGCCATTCCAGACAAATCTATGGAGTTCCCCAGAGCTTTTTAGATCTCATGTTGGAAATTGAAGAAAATTGCACAGCGGTAAATCTAATGCGTTGAAACCACCCCCTTAAACTGAAAGACTGGGCAAGGAATGCTTTATTAACTGAAGCAAACAAGAGGCCAATCCAGCTCTGGAGGAGCTAAAGAAATCTCCAGCCCTAGCATGAAATCCTGTCGGCAGCACAAAATGGACCTGCCTTTTTTTGAAGTGTGACTTAAAGAAAGCAGTTTGCCAGATTTCATGTATGGGACAAAGCAAACATGATCATTATAGTCAGGTGAGAGCTACTGTATGTGAAGTAAAGCTGGATTATGCTATTCACTGAGACCTGGCTCATCGCAGCCACCACAGAAAAATCTACTGAGTCCCCCAATCTTTTCAGACAGTAGTTCCTATTCCGTGGAGTGATAGCAGACAAAAAATGCTCCTAATACATACCAAGGTCTGACATAGGATGTACTAAAATGATTGAAATAGTCTAACAAAACACTATCATAAGTTTTCTAGCTCAAAAACCTTTGATTATTTGCCTCCCGCACTTTTTCTCCTGTACATTATCCGGAAAAAAAACCCCCAAAAAACAAAAGAAAGCATCACATAACTTTGAGGTTTACCTTTACTCAGTTCTTTGTTAGTGTTTTGCATCAAATCCTTAGGAATTACATGGTTGTTGTTCAAACATGACAAAATAAAGTTAAAGAGGTATGAATTAATTAACTAATATGAAGAAAAGACATCAATTCAAGTGATGATGAAAGCTTAGGCAGCTAGATCAAGCAGCACTTCGCTTGATTTGTTTCAACTCCATCAATCAAACCAAATCAAGTGAGAAATGACTAAAACTATTCCAAACAACAATGAGAGTTCAAAGGACAGACAGAAAATTTGCTCTTCGAAGCTAAAGCATCCTCATAGCTGACCTGCGTGAGAACATCCAGCTGCTGAACAATGTGCTGCAGGGTGAAATCCAGACTTGATGGATGACCTGAGAGGACCTCCAGTGGGTGGTTCTGTGCCGTGTCCTCTTCTTTCCTCCTTCCTCTTCCTGCACCGTCTGAGCCGCTCTGGTTCCCAGAATTTGACCCTGCCCAGTTGGTACTTTCACCCCCGGTCCACTCTTCTACTTTTGAACCACTGTCATGAAGTGCCAGGAAATCTGTCTGTGTGTGTGACAAAAAAGAAACCGTTTAGTAGCTGGAGACTACTGAACTCAGCTATCATCGAGTTAGCTAACTTTTAACCCATAATACACTGCAGCTGAATACTTTGTATTCAAAAATCACAATAAGGATATTAATATGAGGACACAAAACAACTTTATGAAAAACACTAGAAAACAAACTTAAGAGGACTGTTTCGTACAGTTTGTTGCTAATAATTGTAGGACCAGAGTAGGACCTCAAATCAAATGTCTTTACTGTTTTTTTACAACAGTTGTTTCAGAATAAAAATATCATTGGGGTTTTACTATCAAAGCATTTATAAAACTAATCACATTTCATATGTTCCTAAAGGGTTCAGCCCTTTTGTCAAACAAAAATCACCCAGTTGGGATTTGTAAGTAATGCAGGCAAGTTTTTTTAATCTGTATACCTTCAGAAATAGGATGTGACTCGGTCTACCAGCTGCGTAGTTCATGTTATGGGATGCCTCAATCAATTCACCCCCAAAATCCAGCTGTTAACCCTTAGATGAACAACCTACCATTACCTACACTCTTCCACAGATAATTTGAAGGCCTAATCTGCCTAAAAGTATCTTTTTATAATGAGGGACACCTGAAATATGAATATATTATAACTTTTCATTTAAAAAATTTTATAGAATAGAAAGATCAGTTCTCAAAAACGGGACTACAATACATCCATCTGCTGTTTTTCTAGGAATCCCTTTTTCTTCTTTTCTAGGGTAGTAGCTCAGTCTGTCCTCTTAAGCAAGAAGATAAGATGGATGGAGGATCTATTTTACTGAATGTCTGTTAGGTTTTAACAAAATAGAAAGATAAAATCTCACACAAACCCTTAATTAGGATCTCAGGAAATTGTAAAACTTTATGGTTAACAGGTAAAAGTCAAACCAGGACTGGAACACAGTATCCTGAGGGCAAATCACATTTCCTATTGTTAACATGCCACCCTTTGGGTAAAGCCAATTAGAGTAGGGATTAAAGGCCTTTGAAAGAAGCCAGTTTGCCATCGGTCAATGTTAAATCAATGTTTTGTCAGTGACCAAATGCACACGAGATTTCAAATAGGTGTAATCACTAAATCAATCACATCATTCTCATAGAACATTTGCATCACCATCCAGGTGGTGATGCCTAGGTTACACATCTGCACCCAAGCAGCGGGTTTCTCTTTAAGAGGAGCTTTCTGAAAAGTTGGGACGATGCTACTGGTTCTCAATGAAGTCTAAATACTTCCCTGGTGTAAGTTAAGAGGCTTTAACGGCTCTGGTGGACTGTTTGAAAGTCCAGATGTTCAGAAAGTTGCACTGTTTTGCCTTTACTTGTGCACCTATATAGACATACAGCAAGGTCTGGTAAAACATGCAGGTTTTACTGTGCTATACATTGGGTAATAACTAGTTACTCGGTTACATTAAAGGAGAATTCCGGTTTTTAACACTTTTAGCCCATTTTCTGTAGTGTCCAGGATGAAATCGAATGATCGACACCAAAATTTTGACAACTGGTCCTGTCTCTGCTTTTTGGCTCATTTAGAATCCACCCCTGGCTGCTTCGGAACGGCTTCCATAGTGCATGTCCGATAATGTCCTTAAAACAACCTTAAACGTTCTTTTTTTAAAATATGCTACTCACCGGGTCGTCAGCGCTGTTCAATGACGTTCCAAAAAAAGTTTCGTAAAGAAAAAACGTTCCTGTAGTGTTTTATTTAGCATTTTGTAAATCCCATTGAGTTCTGTTGGAATAGTCAATATTCCGCTGCCACCGGAAACGGAAATGGGGCCTGTTTACACAGTTGTAGTCTTTTCGCTTCACTCTGTGTACTCCGACGTCGAGAATCAAGAATCCACCTTTCGTATTCAATTTTCAGAGTTTTTTAAAGTGTTTAACAGAGACGTTAATTTACTCAATAAAAAACAAGTTTGTGTTAAAAAAAAAAAAAAAAAAAAGAATCAACAGAGACACACACCTACAGCTTATACTCAAATTAGACTTTGTTTTTTACTCAAGCTTCATGGATTTCAGGTTCTTTTCTATCTGCTGATCAAGCAGGGTAATATCGAGATCAATAAAAATTCAGTATACAGTTTACGGAGACTTGTTAATGCACTGAACTTACCCTATTTCAACCTATTTTAACACTAAGTATTGATAAGTCTTATCAGCCCGGCCAAGCCAGACTGAATTACACGGAGCCGGATTCAGTCTGGTAAACCGCCATTAACCAATCACGTTTTGGGACTTTATGATGCATCACTCTCAGCGCCTTTCTGCTAGCACAACAGCAAGATGGCAACAGCAACGGAGCAATGTTTTAATGATGGCCTTTCTAATGTCTAAAGTTAGAATTATGCAACTTTAAAACCTCAACAATAGATATCTTTAGTGTCATTTCATATAAAAAAGGATGTGTTTTCTATTTTCGGCTTGGCATGTTCCACGGACCAAAATAAAATACAAAAAACAGTGCGTGTTGGTTGGAGTCACATCCGTAGTTATCTGATTGGTTCTAATCTCATGAGGGTGACCCTGTTAGACCCGTCTTTGTATTCCAGCTTTATTTGCTCTTAGCGAGACTGATAAGACGAGTATACGTTGTATCACCTGGCCCGGCTAATGTCTTATAACAAAATAAACTTGTTTCTTCCACCAGAAATAGGTATTGTCTAATTGATCTATATTATTACTTTATCATTGTTTGAAACACCAATGTATTCATATAACTTTATCTTTTTTAACACTGAATCATTTCTAGAGTAGTAAATCTAATGTAAACAGGGCAGTTTCTAAGTAATTGAGTAGCCTTTTTTTTCCTCTTACTTCAGCGAGAGCTTGGATCATTACATTTTACTTTTACTTCAGTAAAAATGCGAAGAAGTAGTGCTACTCTTACACGAGTAACATTTTTGGGTACTCCACCCACCTTTGGCCACAAATAGTTGCAAAGTTGGAAAAACATGGTTCCTGCTTTGCCCTGGAGCAGACTCTGAGTCTGTTGTAATTTACTGGACTGGAGAGAGCTGATGTCTTATATTGCTAGAACAAACAAAAATAAGTTTATCTAATCCATTTTTCTATAGCACTTTTTTCAGAAACACTGAGGTGATTAATTGCATAGAGAAGTAAATTACTTCAAACCATATTATATTTTACTTAAACTTTTCTGAGCACCTAAGAAAATGGGATTTTCTTAATAAGAAATAAAAACTAACAACCTCACAGCTGATTTACCACAAAGACAACTGCAGGTTTTATTGTAGGACATGAAGATATTAAATAGTCCCTCTTTAACAGCATTTCTCATAAAACATAAATGCCTTGCAACTATTTTCAGGTTAAAAAAAAGCTATTTTTCATAGTTTTTTTTTTTTTGCTTTGTTAGGAATTTTACTTTAGTAAGGCATATTAAAATAAACGACAAAATGAGGGATCCTTTTTCACCACCTGAAGGAGGGACACAGAGAAAAATCTTTTTTTTATCCAACTAGAGTGTCTTGTTAAGGAATGCAACTTGAACTTTCCCAAGTACCATCATGCTGCAAATTCCAAACATCTAATAAAGAAATAATGAAGGACATAATTTTAAATTTTTTTATTTAAAAGAAAATCTGAAAAGAATTGCCACATATAATGTTCGTGCCTCCTTTCTGATCATTACATTTACAGAGCTCAGATGAGGGGCTGGGCTTCACCTCAGAAAGCTCAGACCAAAATCTATGCAGTGAGAATCTGCCAAAAGTGCACATGCATAATAAACATAAGAGCAGTTTTATTTTAAAACACATGCATGTAAACTATTCTTCAGGTAGATTTTGAATTTTTTATGCATGGCGTTAAGATTTAATTACCATATATCACATGCCAATCACATGGACCTGATTCTATGCAGTAATGTCAACTTCTGTCGCTTTGAGGGAGAAACCAACCTGACAGAGTAAAAACTACCTGTGATCGGCTACTTTTCGGGGAATCTCGCCTCTTTAGACAGCGCTGTTTATTCCCTAGTTGCAGCTAGTGATGTAAGCAGAGCACCTTCACGCTAATCAGTGTCATATAAAAGGGTAAAATTCAGACTTTATATCTAACATCCAGCAAACTGATTAGAAAGATAAATGTTTGTGTTTAGCTGTAGAGGATAGTTCATTCAAGCCTCGCTTTCAGCAATGTAAATAGTGAAGCTAACTTTAGCTTAGCTCATAAAAGGTTCTCAATCTAACATGAATCAAAAAACAACTTTTTGAAAAACATAAAAAAAGGTTGTAAATGTTTGAATCAGTAAAACCCAGCTATATTTAATAAGAATCAAATGAATTAACTTTAAAGTAAAGTTATAGCTGATGATCTGCAGAAACTAAACCAAAGTTGGGCAATAGTAGTAATCTCTTGTGGCACATCAGGAGGAACAGAAGGAGACATTATTGAGAGATGTGTCTGACGGATGGGAAAGAAAGAAAGGAAGGGGAGGAGGAGGCTGTCACACATTCCTGACCTAATGCATGGAGCAATCGATTCCGGCTTGCTTCCTGCATGTTGTCCTCACTTCAAAGAGAGATTTTTAAAAAGGCAGGAGAGGAAGGCTGATGGAGGGAGGAGAAGAAGGCAGGAGGAATGTGTTTAAAGAAAGAAGGAGGAGGAGGGAAGTCTCCACTTAAGTGAGAAAGAAGAGAACAAAGCTGTCAGTGTGGCAAACGGTATACTTTGCTATCCGGGTTCATTTCTTTTTCCTTTCTTCCCTTCATCTTTCAACCGTCCCCCCCCCCCCTTCCCCTTTCCTCTTCTTCTCCTCTTGGCCACATCTGGCCAACATCTGCTCTGCTCATTTGCGCTCAGCAGATCCAGACCTCTGTACCGCCTCCCTCCCTCCTTCTGCCAGGAAGTTCGGGTGTAATCAAACGTTTAAGAGGCAAGCCACCCCAGCTGGGTTTTCGTGTCAATCAGCACACGTAGACACACACAGAGTGTTCAAACACATGT